AAAAAAAAAAATATGTTTGTTATGTATCACCACTTTTCTTAAACGAACCATTACATCATAGTGTTTAAAAGACAGCATCTTATTCTCTGAAGGGGTAAGAGAAAATTTTTGTGTTTACTTTCCTCTCCGTATAAGACTTTTTAAAATCACAGGTGCATAATTTTACACTGAAGCAATGCAGGGTCGCATTTAATCAGTAACTTACATAGGGCGTTTGATATTTTTGACATTTTCATTCTTATTTACTGTATAATTAAATTATAATGGCAAGTTCTTTAATCCATATTGCTGAATCTGGATTTTCATTAAACAACTGTAAACTTTCTCCTGTAACTCAAATGATAACTTTCAACAATATTTTTCATATTCTCTTTGGTTAAACTTAGATTATTGAACAGATTATTAAATATGGTTAAACAATTTATTTCATGAAGATTAGCTATAAAATATATTTGCTAAATATAACACACTTTTACTTATCTCTCTGAGTCTACGGCTACATTGTAGTTTAATATTAAGATGTACTATATGTCTGGAAATGCTAGAATGACAATTTGATATTTGTAAGAGAAAGTACTTGCCAACATTCTGATCCACAGGGGTTCCACATATCTGTATTGTTAGGTGTTATTTTACTATAAGATTTATTATAAATTAGACCAATTCAAAACAAGTTTGATGATATATATTTATGCCCCTCTATTTTTAATTTATGTCTTCATGTGATCTATGTATCATGCAGAGTTTTATGTTATGTGATTTATGCTACTCGTACAGCCATCAATTCAACTCTGCCTCATAGCAACGCTTTATAGAGCTTTGGAGACTGTAAATCTCTATGGGAGCAGATAGCTCCATTTTTTGTAGGTTGAGTGGTGGATTTGAACTAACCGATCTTGCAGATAGCAGTCCAACACTTATTTCTACGTGCCATTAAGACTCTTGTTATCTTAATAATATGTAAGTAAATACAAATAAGTCTAAATAAAAAATTCAATTTAAAAATATTTTATTATTCTATGATTATGTGATGAAATTGAAGTGTATGTCTCTGTGTAGATAAAATGTGGATAAGGACAATTAGAAAAGTGGACAAGTGATCCGTAGTCTTTGGACAAAACTGCCGTGACATAATAAAGTTCATTGAACCAATCTCCCTCCTACTTTTTGATTTTCAATTTGTGAATATACAAAAATATGAACATAACCATCAGCTCTGACATTTAATAAGAACTATATAATCTATACAATAATAGTTATTTGTTTTACAGCATATATTATATTTTACCTATTAGTCTAGTTATGACTTATACTATTATGACTATCTTTCTGTTTATATTAATTTTAGTAATATAAATAATTAGTCATTCTCAAGATATATTTGAATATTTTATGTCATTAGTGATAATTTTAAACCAAAGTTTTGAAATGATTTAATATTATCAATAATGTAAATAATTTCTAAATAGGATCACAAACAATTTTGTCATTGAACAAGCACTTATTTTAAAAATATCTAAATATAAAGGCTTTCATGCATGAAGAATAATATAATGCAATACTTACCTGAACACGTGAAGAATTTGGATTCACCCACACTAAGCTCTACCTTGCTAAGTGAAATTGTCACTTGAAGAAGAGCTAGAAAAAAAAGCAAGTAGCAGTTAATTGTAGTTCAAATATGAATTCCAAGAGTGCGCTATTGTTTAAGCAACATTGTCTAAACCACAATTGTTTTTTCCTTTGTGTTTTTAGTTGCTTATAAATAAAGCAGAACATTTTTGTACAGGGAATAGTACAATACTATCTAACCATATTATATCTGTTAAATTATTATAAATTTCCCAATCAGACCAAATCTATCACTTATTCAAGCTAAAATGTCTATCCTGCTAGTCATGCAAATGAAAAAAGATATAAAGGTTTTCATGTGTTCCACTGGCAGTAGTCAAAGAAAATTTTACCCATCAGCTGAAAATTTGTTTGAAAGATTAAAACCTACATATCATTGTAATAATAAGCATGTAACAACTATTTTCTGACAATTTATTGAAATACTTCAAGAAAGGAGGCAGGCAAGCAGTAAAGAGAAGCAACAAAGTAGAGAAAGAGTGAATGAGCATTCATTTGCACTATATTTCAAGGGAAGGATATGATAACCTATAATGAGGCACTCAACATATTAAGCAACTCTGCTGTAAAATAAAATTGAAATGAAATGGTTGCATATATGAAAATATAAAACATAAATAAATTATGCTTTAATAAAAAATTACAATGAATAGTTATAATAATAAGATGGGCAGGATAGGTTGATGATTTCCTGAATCCTTTGCTTAGTATCCCTCATTCCCAGACACAAGTAAATATATAAGCCTTCAGTAAAGATTTCAAGGGTTAAAAAAAGAAAAAAAATGTAAACTGTATGTAGACAACAACAAAAAAATATGAACTTGACTGACAAGAGTGAGCAAAAAGATTACCTAGATATGTGTGGACAACACAAAATGAGAATTGAATTTATCTAGTAGAAAAACTTTCTTCAGAACAATAGATAAAATTGTTTCTGGAGCAAGAATACCTTTTAGTGCAAGAAGGATACGGAATGATCAACTATCTGCCAAAGGAATATGAAAAGAAAATTTGTCTCTTTTTATCTTGATATAGAAACCCTGTTTCCCCTTAGATACATATATGAACCACAGTTTCTGTCTCTCCTAGGTTTGAAGATGCCCAGAATAAGAAGATAAAATAAAAAGAGGGTCCTCAGCTAAGTTACAGAAATAGGCACAAATTCTCTTAAGAACTTCATCATCAGAACAGGCTGCCCACATTTTAAAAGACAAAGTATTTTTTAACCTAAATTCACACCTGCCATTTTAATATACAAAATCAATTATGTTGAATAAGAGTCAAAGAAAATATGAATCAAGGTGAAATGAACTCATGGAATTTAAAATAATGGAATTTTTATTTTAATCTTTTAAAAATCATTTTATTGGGGGCTGTAAAACTCATCACAATCCATACATACATCCACTGTGTCAAGCACATTTGTACATTTGTGGCCATCATATTCTCAAAACATTTTCTTTCTACTTGAGCCCATGGATCAGCTCCTCATTGTTTTCCCTCCCACCCCACCACGCTCTTCCTTTACGAACCCTTCATAATTTATAAATTATTATTATTTTGTCAGGTCGAACACTGTCGCCCTTCACCCACTTTTCTGTTGCCCGTCTCCCAGGGAGGGGGTAATATGTAGATTCTTGTGATCTGTTCTCCCTTTCTACCCCACCTTACCCTGATCCTCCTGGTTTCGCTACTCTCATTGGTCCTGAGGGGCTTATCTGTCCTGGATTCCCTGTATTTCCAGTTCCTATCTGTACCAGTGTACATCCTCTGGTCTAGCCGGATTTGTAAGTTAGAATTGGCTCATAATAGTGTGGGGAGGAAGCATTAAAGAACTAGAGGAAAATTGTATGTTTCATCATTGCTATACTGCACCCTGACTGGCTCGTCTCCTTCCCGGGACCCTTCTATAAGGGGAAGTCCAGTTGCCCTCATTATTATCTCTGCAGGTCTATTTAGATAAGATAGATGGTATAAACAATCTAGAGGGGAAAACAATGGGACCAATGGTTGCGGGGGACATGGAAGAAGGGGAGGTGGGGAAAGGAAGTGGTGTCAACAAACCCAGAGACAAGAGAACAACAAGTGATCCAAAATCGATAACAAGGAGGGTGTATGAGGCCTGGTAGGACTTGATCAAAGGCAATGTAATGGAGAGGAATTACTGAAACCCAAACGAAGGTGAGCATGAAAGTGGGACAAGAGGAAAGTAAAAAGAAATAGAGGAAAGATCTAGGAGGCAAAGGGCATTTATAGAGGTCTAAATACAGCCATGTACGTATGTAAATATATTTATATATGATAATGGAGAAATAGATTTATGTACATATATTTATAGGTTTAGTATTAAGGTGGCAGATGAACATTGGGCCTCTTCTTAAGTACTTCCTCAATGCAAGGACACTTTGTTCTATTAAACTGATATTCCATGATGCTCACCTTCCCAACACGATAGCTGAAGACAAAGTGGGTGCATAAGCAAATGTGTGAAGAAAGCTGATGGCGCCCGGCTATCAAAAGATATAGCATCTGGGGTCTTAAAGGCTTGAAGACAAACAAGCAACCATCTAACTGAGAAGCAACAAAGCCCACATGAAATAATGGAAATTTTAAATGAAGTGTATAAATTAATCATGTTGAAAATGTTTACAAAGCAATCAAAAAGTTGACTCAAAAATGTAAAAAGGAACAACATACATTATTAAGAAATACTTTTCAAATGAGTTTTTTAATCATTTAATATATGTATCTTTATACTCCCCAAATTTCATTATTTTTCCCAGATGTCTTCCTATCTCACGGGAAAATCTCCAGAGGACTCTGTCTATATGACTTTCTTCCTTCCTCTCAGTCCTGTGTTGTTTTTTTACTTCTCAAATCCCAGAGAATGCTAAACACATTGTAAGGCATGAGCAAGTGTTGAAGTAAATTTAGCCTTTCAGATAAAAACAGATAAAGGAAAGCACAGGAAGTAAAAATAAATAGGAAGTTATCTGCAAAATCCACAGGACTGGGACCAAGCTACAAACAATAAAAATTGCCAATTCCAATGGAAAATAAAATCACATGTTAATTTTACATTTTAAAAGAAGTAAGTAAAGTCCTTTTAAAAACATAATTTAGATGAAACCAGGTACATAGAAGGCTGGCTACAAAGTTTAGGGATTAGAACACTAGATATTTGAGCCTTATTTTATAAACTTGAGTCTTAAAAAATACAGCAGTTATTCCGTAAGAAAATTTTGGCTATGGGTGTAGAGCTGTTGATTTTTTTTCTTTTTTAATGGAATAATGTTTGAACGTTTCTTAGATATGAAAAAAGCAGGAAAGTGATTGCAAGCTTGAAAGAAAGCAGAAATAGTTTTATTCTACAGTCTCTTTTCTTTCCTCCCCATCCTGTCCCATCCCTTTTGCTTTGGATTTCAACCCTGCCTTGTTACTGTAGTTATTTGCCTCATCGACTCAACCTTGTGGAATCACTATTTACAGCACAAACAAACAAACAAACAAAAAACACTTCCACACTGCACCATCCTCACAATTATTGTTGTGGCTGAACTTATTGCTTCAATCACTTTGTCAATCCATCTTGTTTAAGATCTTCCTTTCCAAGCATGATGTCCTTTTCCAAAGATAGGTCTTTCCTAATAACACTCTCAAAGAACATGAGAGGGAATCTTGTCATCCTTGTTTCTAAGAAGCATTCTAGTTGTACTAGTTCAAAAATATATTTGTTTGTCCTTTTGGCACTCAGTGCTACTTTCAGTATTCTTTGGCAGCACCACAACAATTCAAATGTATTGATACTTCTGCAGGATTCCTTATTCAAAACCCGACTTCCGTTTGCAGTTGTGGTAATTGAAAATACCACGGTTGAGTTAGGTGCATTTAAAAAAAATCATTTTATTAGGGGCTCACAAAACTCTTATCAAAATCCATACATACATCAATTGTGTAAAGCACATTTGCACATTCATTGCCCTCATCATTCTCAAAATATTTGCTCACCACTTAAGCCCCTGGCATCAACTCCTTATTTCCCACCCTCCCTCCGCAATCCCTCCTCCCTCATGAACCCTTGGTAACTTATAAATTATTATTTTGTCATATCTTACACTGTCTGACGTCTTCCTTCACCCAATTTTCTGTTGTCCGTCCCCCAGGGAGAAGGTTATATGCAGATCCTTGTAATCAGTTCCCCCTTTCCACCCCATCTTCCCTCCACCCTCCCAGTATTGCCACTCTCACCACTGGTCCTGAGGGGTTCATCTGCCCTGGATTCCCTGTGTTTCCAGTTCCTATCTGTACCAGTGTACATCCTCTGGTCTAGCCAGATTTGTAAGGTAGAATTGGGATCATGACAGTGGAGGGGGAGGAAGCATTTAAGAACTAGAGAAGAGTTGTATGTTTCATCGTTGCTACACTGCACCCTGACTGGCTTGTCTCCTCCCCACAATCCTTCTGTAAGGGGATGTCCAATTGCCTGGAGATGGGCTTTGGGTCTCTACTCTGCACTCCCCCTTATACACAATGATAGGTCCACTTTTGTCATCCAAGTAAAATTTTTGCTCAGAGGCTACAAGTCTGAGTCACACCTTTCCTGATTTTAAATAATGGCATATCCTCTTGTTTTATTTGAAATATTGCCTCTTGATTCATGTACAGGTTCCAATGAGCATAATGAAATGTTCTGGAATTTCCATTCTTCCCAATGTTACCCATAGTTTGTTATGATCAACATAGTGGAATGTAAATATCTTTCTGTCAGTCTCGGATTTGTGCTGACATCTCTCTGAAATCAGCAATGATATCCCTTGATTCACATCCTCTTCTGAATTTCCAACAGTTCCTTGTCAATGTATTCGTGCAATTGATTCTGAAGAACATTCCACAAAATTTTACTTGCATGGGCTATTAATGCTGATTTTCTATAATTTCCAAATTCTTTAGGTCACCTTTCTTTGAAATTGAGAATATGGGTGTATTTCAGTTGTTTGCCCAGGCAGCAG